AAAAAGGGTCATTTGTCTCGATATCATAAAAAAAATAAAGTTTTTTTTTTACTCAGAAAAAAAAAAAGAAATAACCATTCAAAAAGAGAGAGAGAAAAAGAAATAAAAATAAAAGAAGTTTCTGGAACCCAGCCGCTTTCCAAATTCTGTCTCGGACTAGAGTCGGAACTCTCTACCACACTCCTCTCTTTTCTGCTCTCTCTTCCTTTATATATTTATACTTCTTTGCTTGTGTCTCAATCCAAGAACCCTAACTCCTCATTGATCAAATCCACGACGCGATTACTCTGCCATGGCGATAATCTCTGATTTCGAAGAAGACCAGAAGGAGATGAAGCCCTCCCCTTCACCATCGTCCTCCGCCGTGACGGCGTCGTTTACCGCGACCTTCGACCCTTCCAATCCCCTAGGGTTTTTGGAGAAAGCTGTCGACTTTGTTGCGCATCAGAGCGATTTTCTCGAGAAAGTGACCGCGGAGAAGGAGATTTTGTCGGTAGTTCGAGCCGCGAAGGCGAGGAAGGCATTGGAGAAGAAGAAGATCAAGATTGAGGAGGAGACGAAGAATATCAAGATTGAGGAGGAGGCGAAGAAGGTAAAGATTGAGGAGGTGGAGGAGAAGAAGCCGAAGGTGAGCCAAGTGCCGAAGAAGGAGGTTAAGAAGGAAGAGGGCAAGTCTCCAATTGAAGTGGATAAGGAGGGTAATGGCGCCTTAGGTACCGACCTTTCTCTGTGTGTAACTTCCTTTTTGATTGTTTTTACGATTAGAAAGTTGAGGAAGAAAGAAAGAGAGAATATTTATTGCAATTATGTGAATGGTTTGTGTTCTTGTTAGATCATCTGTTTGGGTAAATTCTTGTTGGCTTATGTTCTGGTTAGATTGTTTGTCTGGGATAAATTCTTGTTGGTGATTGTGTTCTTGTTACAGAGCTACATTATTCTTGTTTAGGTAGATTCTTGTTTATGTTTTGTGGATATTGGTCTGTGGTGCTGAGTACGTTTGGCTGCTCGGAAAATAGAGGAAAACCCATCACAGATATGCCACATTGAGGAAAAGAAATCACTTTACTCTTTCTTGTTTCAATGATTTTGTTGAAATTTGCCGAGTTGTTGAGTTCCTTAATATTGTTGTCTTTAGGGAAAG